GTTTCCGCTGATTCTCAGCGATAAATTTAAATTGACTTTATTTGGTATGAAGAGACTTTAGATTTTATTTCAAATATAACACATATAATATATAAATATAAAACATAGAATACATAAAAAGTTTTTAATAGCATTAACACTTCGCCCATCCGAATAGTTAAATTTTTTTTTCATATTTGTTGCACAATGCTGAGTGATAAATAACCATATTTAATATTCAATTTGTAACTTACTTTGCTGCAAATTTATTTATGTTTTTACAAAGAATTTATAATTATTCAAAATATTCGAAAATCTATTTGCTAGGCAATGAACAAAACATATTTAGGTTCCAAAGTGAAAAAATGTATTTTTTACGCTTTTTAGTTTTACGTTTGTGTGCCAACCATACAGTGTTGATTGGCTAAGAGCAATCAGCTTACAATCTACTTGTGTTTATTTTTGGTTATGCGAAAATATTTAATTTCCACTGGGACAATTAATTGCCGAACAAATTTAATTTCCTGTGCAATTGTAATTAAAAGATACAATTTTATTTTATTGCACATTTTTTAGTCTGATTAACACCCTATTTTAAATGACTGCTGCATATTGCGCATACGCCCGGGTTAACCACACTTGAAGCGTTAATGAACAGCCCAACAGAAATTGCCACAAATACAACAGCTAACAATGTTCTTGAGTGAGATAGAGGATGAGGGAGGTAGGTAGAGGGGGAGAGAGATCGAGATAGAGATTTGACTAACGAATTTCCTATAAATGAATTAAATATTCATGTCATAACTTCATATTGCCAGAAATAAATAAGTAAATAATAATTTAAAAAAGTAAATATGTTAGAATTATATCTTAATCAGTAAACATATAGAAATGTAGCTAAAATTAAGAAAATTTACTTGATTACACTTTTTTTATCTTGATAAAAAACTACAAAATCTTAAATCAATCTTGACAATCTTGAGTTAGAAATTTAAAACCCAAAGTAAGATTCGCAATTTCAAATCAAGATTCCCTACACTATAATTGTGTTCCTAACATACCCCTTTTTAAGCATTTCAAGGGTATTAATAAATGTTTAAAAAAATGCTTAACCAACTTTGCAATTAAGTGCAACAGCGACAGCAACCACAACAACAACAAGAGCAGCAGCAGCAGCAGCAGCAGCGGGGAGCAGCAATGAGTGCAACATGCAAATAATGCATTATGCAAACATTGAGATACATTTTACGAGTGACCGAGCAAAAAGAGGGTGCGGGGGGTGAAGCATGAGGAGTTGGGGGCAAAAAGGAAGGAAACAAAAGCGCCACGACGTCATCCGCAGACAACTGTAAATATGTATATTAATTTGATGGGCAGGAGTATAGCAGGGTTGGGGGTTGGAGGCGCCTCATCTGTCATCTCAGTGGCAGTATGCCAATTTCACCTGTCGCATTTTTTTTTGTTCGTATTTGTTAGCCCAGACAACAACCCCCAACCCACAACCCCAACCCGAACTGCTTCCCTCTGTTGTTGTTATTGTTGCAGCTGTTTTTCTTCATTCAAACAGCTGCTGTTTTTCTTGTTTTTGTTGTTATTTTCTCTCGGTTCTGTTTATTTTGATATTTACAATATTTTTGAGCGATATTTTTGCTCGTTGATTTCATTCAAGTTGATTTTTATGGCACGCTTCAGTTTTTTGTTTGTTTTTGTTTTTTTATTTTACTTGCGGCACTCGACAAAATGCAATAATAATTACGCGATAATTATGAAAGCAATTGTTCTTTGCTTTACCAATTAAATATATATGTACATACATATATATAAGGCAAGTGGCATGTGGCATTTGGCATGTGGCAAGTGGCAATTGGCAGTGAAGAGGAAGCCATTTGTCTAGCCAAGCAGCAACAAAAGTTGAGTTGTGCCAACAACATATGATAAATGATTTCCTTTTGATGTTCAATTTTAAATTTACAAGCTATTAATAACTTTTTAATTGCAGCAGACATTTGGTTGATGAAAATATTCTATAAATTGGTTTAATAAGCCTATTTAATTAAATAGCAATGCAAAAATTAACAAAACTTTACAGTAAACTGCATTTTCAACAGTTTTGCAAAGACAAAGTGTATATCTTGTATCTTGCTTATAAAATAAATGGCTTGTTTCAAGATTTTGTTGGGCAGAGATAAAATAATATTAAGTTTCAACTAAACTCAAATGTGTAATAAAGTTTTTTTTAAATCTTTTAATGTGAGTCTTTAAATCTTTATTCAAGTTTGTTTATTCACCCTGCGAATCTCTTTTTTAACACTTGAACCATTTTAATTGCTCAAAGAACTACAAAAATGGCTCAAGTCGTAAAAATGGCGGAGTTGATCAAAAAAAGTAAAGAAAATTTCTTTCTTTCTTTGGTTTGTCAGCCATTTATCCAGTTTGTTCGGGGCTTGTTCTACTTTGCTACTTGATGCGGGTACTCTGACACGCCCCCTTCCCAAACGCCCTCTCGCTGGTAGGACAATTGTTTGCATTTGGGCTAATTAAATTTGTCCTTTTCAATTAGGCTAAGGTGTGTGTGGGTGTTGAAGAAAACGGAGAAAAAAAGGCACAAATTGAAAATGGAAAACGAAAAACGAAAAGAGAAAATGAAATTTGAACGAAATGCGCCCTAAAATGCAATTAAAAGCTGACAACAACGAAAAGCGCGCTAATTAATTGCAACAATTTGTTGCAAGTGCGCTGCTGCCTCTGGTTGCTGCTGTTGGCTGCAATTAGCCAGCCGCAAAAGGGCACCAACAGCAACACCAACGACAACAAATAACTGAACAACTGGCCAAACAATTGGATGGCTGTTCACAAAATCAGCGTTTGCCTCTTTAACGAAATGCCTGTTAAATATTTAACAATCCAACAACACACTGAACAAAACATGAAGCAAGTTGTTGTTGTTGCTGTTGCTGAAAGCCAAAATGCAAACGGAATTAGCCCTGGTCAGTGCGTAAATTGTATACCAGTTGGTATTTATTTTGCATGTGTAACATGTAAGCAGTGTGCACTGTGAGAAATTAAGCAAACTTTTAAATAATATACTACAAATTTAGCATTTAATCATATAATGATCTTTGAAGGTTATTTTATGTGTCTCACAACTCTCAATAAAATATTAATCATCGTTTGTCTAAACAGTTTCAGATTGGAATGATTAAAAAGTCTTTGCAAAATGTCACAAAAAATAACAAAAAAGGGAAATAAATTATAATTTTGATATCGCATCCCTCCCAAATCTCATTAATTTATTAGCCATTATTTATCCAAGCAGTTTGTGTTTGGAATGATTAAAATATATTTTATCAAGCAAAATTAATGCTTTGAAGTGCTTTCTTAGTAATTTTTCCATCTAAGAATTTTATGCTTAAAATGATTACAAAATCGTTGCAAAAGTTTACTGTGAGAAATTAAGCGAATTTGCATAAAATAAAGAATTTATTGATTACATAATGCTATCTTAATGCCTTAGGGTGTTTTTACGTACTCAATAAAATATAAGTAATCTTTTATCTAAGCAGTTGCAAATGTAAAAAAAAAAGTTGTTATTTAAAGCATTTAAATTAAGGCTTGAAGGTGTATTTAGGTCTCTCACAACTCTCAATAAAATATTATTCATCTTTTATCTAAGAAGTTTGTGTTTGGAATGCTTAAGAAATCTTTGTGGTTTTCACATATTTAATATGCACAACTGTGTTTGAGCCAAACCCATTCAAAAATTTAAGCACACAATGTGAAAACGCAAAATGTGAACAAAGAAAATATGAATATTTCAAATTTAAATAATTTAAATTTATTTTCTTTCTTTCTCTTGCCTAGCACCCTAAGTAGACCGCTCACTAATAAAAATATGTCTCATAATTCAAAGTATTTTCCAACTTTTATTAGCACATCAAGCACATTTAATAAATTTAATTTCACGATATTTGATACATTTTTGCTCGTTATACATAAATAAACCAGAATGCAAATTCAAATTTGATTGAATTAAAAAACTTATCAATAAGAAAGTGAGCCAAAGCCAAATCCAATATTCGATTTCAAAAATGTGCATTAAAAATACAACAGCGATTGAAAAATCTGAACTCATTATTAATATTATTTTATAAAAAACAAAAAAGGAGTTCTTAAAAATGTTGGCCCTGGGTCAATACTTTTGCTGTATTCCACTTAATTCACTAAGAAAATTAGGTTTATTTATAAATTTTTATTAATTCATTTATTTATTGTACTTACTTTATTTATTTAAATAAATTCGTATTATTTCGTTTATTTATTATTTCCTTTTCCCATTTTAAATGGGTTCAGATTTCAAAAAATGTCCCAATTTGAATTAGCACATCAATTCCAAATACACATTTAATAAATTTAATTTCAAGACATTTGAGACGTCTTTTGCAAGTTTTAAATTAATACGCAAGAAGATAAAAATCAAACAAAGCCAACTTAAGAAATGGAAAGACTATTAATATTTATTTCTTATATTTGTTTATATATTTTTTTGTATTTTATTTATTTATTTTAATTATTTTTTATACTTATTTAATTTATTTGAATTATTTAAATTAGTTCACTGATTTTCTACGTCTTTACTTATTGTGTATTCTGGAACAGTCGCAACTCGCAACATTCGCTTTCGCACAGTGTAAATATTTAATGTGTGTTTGTCTGCCAGTCAGTGTGTCTTTCTGTGGGTTAGTTTGTTTATCTGTTTGAGTATCAATCTAACTGCTTGACCAGTCAGCCATAAACCCATCCAATTTGTGGCCTATTTTATGGCACACATTTTCTGTTACAGTTTCAGTTTGAGTTTCGATTGTGAATGCAAATGCTCAACTTTAATCAGCTGTGCGTATTTTTTCCAACAATAACCAATGACATCATCATCATCAGCATCATTATCATTATCAACATAATTATCATCATACAGCTACAGCTGTTGCTAATGGGCGCAATGCCAAACAGAGACAAACACTTACCTCATTATCAATGTTGCCGCGTGCCAATGCCACATTTCTTATCAGTGGCACATTTCGATTCCGACTGCTGTCTCGCAACGCTTGCAACTCCTTCTGATGCTGCTGCTTCATCAAATGATGCTCGTGCTCAATTTTATTCCACTGCTCATTGGAGTAACCATTGTTGGGTGACGCATCCAGTGGATCCTTCTGCTCCTGTCCCTCCTGAATTTTGGGTCTCTCGGTTGTGGTTTGTTTCACTTTCTCCTTTTTGCCTTTGAAGAACCAATCGAAGATGTTTCGCTTGGCGGCGGCTTTAGTGTGCCCCGCCGAGATGCTGGGATGCCGATTGGTTGCCCTCTTGTGGCTGCCCACCTGCTCCACATCGAACTCATCGTAATCCTCCTCATTGGAACTGATCTGTGGCAACTTTTGACTGAAGAACGAGTAACGTGGCATTTGTTTGGCCAACTCGGCAGCGGCACGCAAACTTTCCTCATTCTCAGCGGCATCATCGTAGGCCTCCTCGTCATCCTCATCCTCCGCATCCTCATCGTCATCGTCCTCCTCATCAATATCATCCTCATCGCTATCGATCAGCTGCTGTCGCCAGTTGGGTGCACGTGTGGCATGTTGTGGTTGCATCCAAGCAGCCGGATAAATGCCATCGCGATCAAAATAGCGTGTGGAAATATTGGGACTTTTATTATCATTATTAGTGAGCAGATTGGGTGCATCTGTGGTGATCGAATTGGGTTTTGCAGTTGTTGTTGTCTGCCCGGGAAAGACACGCTGCTCCCAGGCAACATGATGACGATTGTGATGCCGCAAATGATGTTGCTGCCCCGGCCCAGTGCTCAGCAGTTGCAACTGCTCCAATTCCATTTGGAATGGAGCTGGTTGCTGTTTGACAGTAGCCACCGGTGGCTGCCTGTTGCTAAGCTCCTCGCGCAAATGCTGCTCGTGCCTCAAATGATGCAGACGATGTTGATGATGATGTTGTTGGTGTTGCACCAACTCGAAGCCCAAAGCATCCAATTGCTGCAAACGTTGCTGCTGATTATGCCGGCTGCTGCGAATCGGAGTCGGAGCTGGAGTCGGACTCATTGTTGTGGCATTGTGCGAATGACGATGTGGATGCTCCTCAGCCGAGAAACTCAGATCGGCAAGCAGGAGCAGCAGCAGTAGCCTCAACGGAAATATGCCCCTGCTACGACTGCAGCTGCTCTGCGGGAAAGCAGCCATCTCTACAAGTATCTGCAACTCCACGCAGAAATGTATCTATGTATCTCTATTTGTATTTTTCCACTTTATACTTTGTTCTTTTATTTAATAATTATTTATTTATTATTACGTATTTCTCGAAGTATCTGTAACTCTTGCTCGAATTGTATCTATGTATCTTTATCTGTAGATTTACACTTTTTGCTTTGTTCTTCTGCTTTATTGTTACTCCAAGTAACAGCAATTCTGTATCTTTTCTCTAATTACTTCCAACGCTAACCCGAAATGTATCTCTATTTGTATCTTTAGCCTTGGCCTTTTTCTTAACTATTATTTATTATTTATTATGTTTTATTATTTATTTATTTTTTTATTATGTGTAATTATTGCTCTTATAATTACTTTTTTCTTTGTTGTTGCACCTTTTTTATTTCTCGTTTCTTTGTTGTTTCACGTTCTGCAGCCTGCCGCTTATTAATAGCATTTGCCTTTTGTTGAATGCACTTTTTTTGTGGTCATAAATCACACTGAGAACGCCTCAATTGCGTTTCAGCAACTTGGAAATATTAATTGCTTTAAGTGCGTTATTTCTTGTTGTCAAAATTTTTGGCACTCATTCAACACTTTTACTTTTTTCACAATGAATTTCACAATTTTGTTTAAATATTTTGTTAATGAATTTTTTATTTTATTGTTGTTTTTCTTCACTTTAACAACACATGAAAAATTGTTGTCAAATATTTATGACAAGCTGCGCGCGACTTTTTGGCGCGTGAATTTTTCAGACAAATTTGCCTGCCAAAAATAATCAACTTTAATGACAATTTGTCGCTTTGGCTGACAGAATTATTTCAGCAACACTTTTTATTTTTAGTGCATAAAATATTTTTTATGTATTTTTTTCACGACTTTTTGTTTGATGTTAATAGAAAATTGAACAATACACTTTGTGGAAAATTGGAAAATTACTGCAATATCCGTACATATGACGACACGGGGCGACTTACAGATAACAACTGAATCTGACGGCAAGCAAATGAATCTGAAACTGATGCGCCGCAATGTTGAGAGCACAAGCATACCTACACTGAGCGAATCAAATGGGGCTAAACTAGTACTACAAAAATGATACTTGGGTGCACCCAAAACAAAGACAAGTCAAGTTTAGCAAACTAATTAATTTAAGTATTAAATTTAAATAGATAATTTGTAGTTTTATTTTCAACTAGTTTAATTGCTGCATTGCAACATGAGAGCGCAACATGTCTACGCAACATGCTGCGCGAGAGAGCGACGCAAGCGGCAGAGAGCGACGCAGCAACATTTGTCGTGTTGCTAGCAGTTACAAGAAGCGAACATGTTGGCTAGCGAGCATGTTGCAAGGCACAGACAAGCCGGCTTTTCATCAGCTGCAACGCAATTTTTTTCAGCTGGTTCTAGTTCGAGCATGCGTGTGTCAGTGTGTGTGTGATTAATGTTGCTGCACGTCTGCAACTTCTCTAGCGCCCACGTGTTAAGCAACAACAGCAACAGAATCTTCAACAAACGCCAATGACAACAAAAAAAATACAGCCCGAAATCAACAGCAACAAAAATAACGCCTGTCAATAACTTCGTACACTGACAAAAAAATATCGAACTAAATTGGAGTAAGTCGCCAGTGGGTTTAGTAAAAGTAAAGTTATAAATAATACTAATAGAACATATATTCAAAAACAAAAATAGAAAAAATCACCATATTTTTAAGATTATCGAATTAATCGAATCGATTATCGAATCGGCCAGTTTTCTCAATTTTAAAAATGATATCCTTTAAAACAAGAAAATCTATAATTTCTAGTCGTTCTTCATTTTAGAGCGATTTACGACAATTTATGGCAATTTAAATATTTTATTGTCTGAGTGTATGTTGTATATGCGACTGCCACCACTTGATGATGTTGCCACCTCGGATGTGGGCAGCAACTTGAATTACATAATCAAATTGTGGCAGTTGCGCTCAACTCAAGCGCAAGAACTAACCACAGACAATAAATGATTCTATTTCTTTTTTGTTTTTGTTTTTTTCGGGGTGCGATTTCAGTGGAAATAACTTGAGAGTAAATTTATACACATATATATATATATACTATATAGTTTCGACTAGATCAAGCTACCAGCTCAAGAACATTTTCCAACTAATTGCCATTAAGCGGCGGCGGCGGTTTCTGCCGCAATGAGTCAGAGTATTTTTTTTTATAGAGGGGCAAGCGACCGGGGTGAGGCATGCCTCACAGGAAGCGCTGCATGCATCTTAGCAAGTCCATAAAAAAGAACCCAAGTAGTAAGTAGGCATGATCAATGATAAAAGGGTTGTTGGAACACAGCAGCAAGCATAATAATAATAAAAAAGAAAACCAAACCAAGAAAGGCCAATGAAGTTTTAAAAAAGATTTTATGACGCAACCAGAAGAATAAGATGATGCAGAAGAAGAACAATGCGAAGAAAATTGATTTTCCTGCGAAGCGTGCAAATAGGATTTGTCAGGCGATCAAATTTTTCTTACTAAACACGCCTATGTAGATATTATAATGAGACATGATGTGGGATATGGATATCCTCACAGTTTACATATGTATATATATGTATAATTCTATATACACTCGAGAAAAAATCAAACCGAATTCTATAAAAGTTTTGTTTGTTTTTTTAGAAATACTTTCTATATAATTGACAAAAAAATTTATTCAAATTACTCTTTTGTAACTTGAAGAGAATAATAATCATAATTTATAGAAATATATTTTCTGAATAAGAAGCTGTGTTTGCCTTGCACCAAAAAGTATGTCGAATTTCTAAAAATTCAAGGTTACTTTTTTTTCCGAGTGTATGTATATTTCTTAATAGTGCAACCTTTGTTCTTCGGTTCTTTAGTTGTGTAGTTTTCCCCTTCGCATGTGTGTTGAACACTGTTTGCCAGTTGTAAGCTCAAAGGCAAACAAGTTACATTTAAAACTGAGTCTCGCAGATAGGAGCTAAAAATGGGGGTAGGGGGCAGTTATGTGTGTGTGTTGTGTGTGTTTTGTGTGTGTGGAACAAGCTATAAAGCTATGCGCTTGGGCCATAAAACGTGTATTATGTGTTAAATTTAACGCTTAATTTGAGACGTTGCATGACTTAAATGAGACAACAAATGAAACCAAATGGAAGCCAACACAATTCAACATTGGCTGTGATGAATATGAATTGAAATATGGTTCGTTATAGTTGGAGTAAACTGTGTTTACATCTAACTGCCACTCTCTATGCGAGAGTCAATTAAATTAGGCATTCAAATAATAGAATAAAATTCAAGTTTCTTTGGTCTAAACTCTTCAATTTCTATAAATTGCCTAACCTATTTTATTTTAATGAGCACACAAAATTTCACTGGCAATTCCTTAGACGTATTTCTTAGAAGATACAAATCGAGATTAATTTAATCGGTTCATTTTATGCTTAGTTTGACATGGGTTTTTTAACAAAAAATAGATAAAAACAACTTTGACATTTTTATCTAAGAAAAATTTATCAGACACAAGTCTAGTTTAAATTGCATTAATTTAACATATTCGTCAATGACTGTCAAAATGAAAGCTTTGATTAATTTTATCAGTTTTAATAAAGTATAAAAATTTAATACAGGGCATAACTATTAACTATTTTTCTCTTCTATATTTTATGCATCTTTTGTACATTTCAAAAGCCACTTTTAACCCATAATTGAATTATATCTACCCAATTTAATGATGCACTTTAGTGTACCAAAATTAATTTTGTCAATATGCCACGGTGCATTGACCTCATTTTCCGCATTTTCTCATTTTCTGCGCCACAATTTGTGGATAGAAAATGCAAATTAACAGCTGCAAAGTGTCATCAAGTATTCAAATGGGTCAAAACGACAGACACTTTATATATACATATAAAAATTTATATATATATTTGCGGGCCACCTAATTGCCAACGTTTACCAGCACTCGAACGTCTCTCGACGAAATATTACACTTGGCATGCTGCAAGCCGCCCTCTCCCCGCCTTCCCACATCATAATATCTGCCTCTCGTCAAACAACTTGTGGCAAGTCTTTGCGGCAATTAAATAATCATAGCGCAATTTACGCTGCACTTGACAAACCAAAAATCTCATCAGCAATGTGGCAAAATTCTGAAGTGGTGAACAGGGGGTTTTGGGGAGTGAAGGGTAGCCATCCCCATCCTCACACACACATAAACACACACAACCCTCCTCACTCCGCCGCTTGACAAGCATCCAAGTAATGAAATCATTGCCAGTGCTCGATAGGGCGTTAAAAATAATCAACGTGCTAATTAAGTTGACCAAACTTCTGAAACAAGCTGCATAGCTGACTTTGCGAATGGGTGGCAACTCTTGCAGACAGAGACGGAGATAGCCAGAGGGAGAGAGAAAGAGAGTGGGGGGTAAGGGAGAGAGCGCTATGTAATAAAAAGAAAACGAAACTTTTCTACAACTTTTCATGTTTTTTAAACTATGCAAAAAGTTCCAAAACCCATTTCAGCACAAGCCACCTCCCAAAAAAACAATACATCCACACCTCCACACACACTTACACTCAAGCACACACACACAACGAACAAACAGCGACATTTTTTAATTACTTTAATGAGTTGACTTGAATATCAGCAGCTAGGTAAATGAATATTTGAGCTGACATTTAACACACAGCAATTTGCAAACGAAAAACAAAAAATACTTAAACCAAAATCAGAGCAATTATAAATAATCTAGGAGTTGCATGAATGACTGGTAGATGCCCTGTAATTTGTTAGTATACAAATAATTAAGAGAAAATATGTCAAGAAGTCAAGAGCAGATATGACATGATATGTAAGATAACAAACTAAAAACTTTTACTGAAACTTAAACTGAAAATTTAATTCTGCAGATCAACAAATGTTATACATATTTTTTTCAAAATTTTTCACAATATTTGTGTGTATAAATGTATATTATTTTAATTCTTGCAAATATCAAATATCAATTATCATCAGCGAATCAAACTGGAACCGGAATAAAA